GTACATCTTTGCCTAGAAAGTGAAAAAACCTCCACTTTACTCCAGACTCTTGACTTCATTCCAAGTCAGGCACAGAAGACCTTGATCTTCACCTGCTCTGTAGGTGAAACTGAAATAGTGTGTAAGGTGAGCCCTGTCCCCTCTGAACACATAAAATGTTCTTGCTGTTTGTTTAAACTGTGATTGGATCTCGAGTCATCAGAATTATTGAGTAAATATTTGACGGGAATAAAAGTTTACACGTTCAGCATCCATCAGAATGGGTTCTGCTGCAAAATGGAAAAGGGTGGCAGGCCCGGCGGAGAGGCTGAGGGCATCATTGGATTTGAAATATTTAAAGTGGATATAAAGCGGTTTCAGCAATGCAGACAATTACGTGCGTTGTTGTGATGGTGCTGTTGGTAAAACATGTCTTCTGATATCCCACATAACAAACCAATTTCCGTCTGAGTATGGACTGACTGTTTTTGACAACTATGCAGTCACGGTTATGATTGGTGGAGAGCCATATACTCGGACTTTTTGATACCGCAGGGCAAGAGGATTACTACAGATTACAACCACTGAGTTATCCGCAAACAGATGTATTTCTAGTCTGGTTTTCAGTGGTCTCTCCATCCTCATTTGAAAATGTGAAAGAAAAGTGGGTGCCTGAGATAACTCACCACTGTCCAAAGACTCCTTTCTTGCTTGTTGGGACCCAGATTGATCTCAGAGATGACCCCTCTACGATTGAGAAACTTGCCAAGAACAAACAGAAACCTATCACTCCAGAGACTGCTGAAAAGCTGGCCCGTGACCTGAAGGCTGTCAAGTATGTGGAGTGTTCTGCACTCACACAGAAAGGCCTAAAGAATGTATTTGACGAAGCAGTATCGGCTGCCCTGGAGCCTCCAGAACCGAAGAAGAGCCACAGGTGTGTGCTGCTACGAACATCTCTCCAGAGCCCTTTCTGCACAACTGGTTTCGGCATCATACTAAAAGCAATGTTTAAATCACATTAAAGGTTAAAAACTAAAATTCGTTTTTGCAGTAATGACAAATGCCCTGCACCTACCCACATGCACTCGTGTGAAACAGGCCCACAGATACGGTCCCTTTCCCCTCTCAGTACTGGTTAATTTTGAGAAATTGTGTATTGTCAGAAAAGTGATCAGTAATAGTTTTTGTTTTGTTTAAAAGCAAGGCATGCATGTGATGACTCTGTAACAGACTAATTCGGGTTGTTGAAGCTGCTCCCGGCTTCCACTCTGGAGAGTGATCTGAGACATCTAGTTGTTGTTTTTTGTTTGGGTTTTTTTTTGCGGTGGGAGGGGAGGGGTGTGTGTGTGGAGTTGGTTTTTATTTAGTAATTTAAAAAAAATTCGTTAACCTTTGGACAGCTCTTTAGGTGAGGAGGATGGAGTATTTCCACATTCTTCTTCCTAGATCTAGTTTAGAAAACGTTTCCCACCAGTGCTCTTAGGAAGGAGTATAGAAAACGCCTCATTTAGTAACATATTCCTTTTTGAAAGTTGCCTTTTCTCTCCACCCTTGAGTAGGATCAGTATTTGAAGAAACTCATGGAAGTGGGTGGAACCTGTCTTGCCCCTCCTCTTTTCTAGGATGCAGTATATACGTGACTGACTTTCAAGGAAATTTGTTAGCCGTTTGCTGATTTTGTTTTTGAAGTTAATGTCTAACTTCTTTCACTGATAAATGAAGAAAATATTGCACGTGTGTGTGTGTGTGCACGTGTGTGCGCGCATGCGCGTCCTTGACCAGAATCGAACCTGGGCCACTTCAGTCCACAGGCCAACGCTCTATCCACTGAGACAAACCAGTCTGGGCAATATTGCACCTTTTGAAATACTAAACCAAATGGATTAAGTACATAATTAAAAAAAAATTTTTCCTTGTCAGTCATTGTTTTATATGCTTAGCATAGATGTGCAGCTTAATAGTGTATGATATGGTGTTCCTAGAACACAGCCGAAGACCTGGTATATATGTGGAGTGCTAGAAGACAGATGTCTGGAATGATTCACATCCTCTTCAGGTTATGAGGATGGAGACCTGCTTCATTAAGAAGCTAGGGGTGGGGTGGGGGTGGGGAGAACATTTAACAGCATGGGGACCAGTCAGGGGAATCCCCTTCTTTCTGTTTTGCATGAGGAACCCTAGAGCAGCCAGTTGAGGCTCTAGTTTAATCAAAACCATGGAGAGAGTCTTATGAAGACTCTTCATAAGTGTTAATAGGGATTTTATCAGCTTATTTTGGTTGCAGTTTCCAACATTGTTAAACATGTTTAGGTAATATTGTCCACCCTCCCGAAATCCTAATTCTTGTAGTTTCATTAGTGTTGTACCAATGCTTTCTCGTGTCTCAATTCTTTGTATATGCATTCTTTTCAGATGTATTAAACAAACAAAAAAACCCATCAGAAAAAAAAAGGAAAAAGGGTTGCAGGAGGCCTGCCACTGAGGGGAGGGGCTGAGTAGGTGGGGTGGCCTTTTCTCTGAGACAAACATTAGAGGGTGGGGGGTGGGGTGGGTAGGACTTTCTATTTTGTCTCGGCAGAGCATTCGAAGGATCCAATTCCCGAAGTGCCAACATCTTCTGTACCCTCTATGTAAGAAAATAGAGAAAATTAATACTAAATATACCATTATGTAGCCAGAAAAGTCAAATAAATTGGCTAAAGATTTATTTAATCTAATCGTGTATAAATTAACGCTAAAATGTAGAAACGAGGCCAAATACAAAATAAAATAATCAGGAGTACATTACATTAGAGCAATAATGAATTAGCAGGTGATGTTAAAAAGCTCCCGTTGAGCCTGGCCAGCGTGGCTCGGGGTTGAGCATCCACCTGTGAATGAGGAGGTCATGATGCGAGTGAGCGTTGCAGGCTTGATCTGCAGTGGGCGGTCATGTGGGGGAGAAGGGGCCAGTTGATCAGTGATTCTCTGTCCTCATTGCTGTTTCTGTCTCTCCCTCTCCCTTCCTCTCTGAAATCAGTCTATAATAATAAAAGTGTAATATGCTAATTAGACTGGACGTCCTTCCAGACGACCTTCTGGATGAAGCCAGGGCTTCAAGGGAAGCCTGGGTCCCGGGTGCCAGAGGGAAGCTGGTGCTGGCAGCCAGGGGAAGGAAGGCCTACTCTTGCATGAATTTCATGCATTGGGCCTCTAGTAAAAATATATTTTTTTAAAAAGCTCCTGTTGATAATAGTGCCATAAATTTGGTGTATACATATAGATATACAGTTAACTCTCAAACAACACAACCCGAAACACCAAACCAGTTTGAACTGCATGGGTCAACTTATAAATGTTTTATTTCTTTTTAAATTTATCTTTATTGTTGAAAGTTTTACAGATGGCCCCTTTTTTTTTGTTTTTGTTTCCCCATTGACCCCCTTCCCCCCACCCCCGCCTCTCCCAGGCCTTCACCGTCCCTCTGAAATTCATCAGTCTTCTCATGCTTCTATGTCTCTGGATCTATTTTGTTCATCAGTTTATTTTGTTCATTAGATTTCATATATGAGTGAGATCATGTGATACTTACCATTCTCTGGCTTATTTAGTTTAGCATAATACTCTCCAGGTCCATCCATGTTATTGCAAATGGTAAGAGTTTTTTCATTTTTACAGCTGAGTGGTATTCCATTGTGTAAATGTACCATAGTTTTTGTCCATTCATCTGCTGATGGGCCTTTAGGCTGTTTACAAATCTTAGCTGTCAGAATGGCTACCATCAACAACTCCAAGAAATGACAAAGTGCTGACGAGGGTGTGGAGAAAAAGGAATCCTAGTACATTGCTGGTGGGAATGCAGACTGGTGCAACCATTATGGGAAAAAGTATGGCGTTTCCTCAAAAAATTAAATATGGAACTACCATTTGACCCAGTGATCTCACTTCTAGGAATATATTCTAAGAAACCTGAAATACCAGATTAAAAATGGTGGCAGAGGAGGAGGATGCTGCATGGACATGCTCCCAGGAGCAAACTGGAATGACAACTGAAATATGGAAAGGCTTCCTGAATAATTAATGGAAAATACAGGAGAGAACCCTGATACCCAAGGACCGAAGGTGGAGACAGCATAGAGACTGGTAGGAGGGGCGGAGGCACCAAAGGGCTGGCCCGGCACCCACAGACGCAACTGAAGTCCCAGAGAGATATCTCAGCTGTGGGGAGGAGGCGGGGGTTGTGCCACTGAGAACTCTGGGACCTATTCCTGAAGCTGGGCTCCCCAGCAGAGAGCACCAAAATGAGAAGGGTACCCACATAGCATCTAGCTGTGAAAAGCAGTGGGGTGCTGTCTACCAGGGAATGGCAGCTGAAAGTTCGGGGACCCTCTTAAAGGGCCAATGCACAAAAATTCCCTGTGGAGCCACCCACCTTGTGCTCTGGCAGAGGGAGGGTGAAGTGGATTGGAGCTGTGAGAGCAAAACCCAGGACTGGGGACTTGGGGAATAGAGCCCAGAAGGCAGATATCCCAAG